ATTCATCATGTTAAACAGCACTTTTAGCAGGAATTGGATCATTCATATATCTTATCTTAAAATTGTATAATCCAAACATAAACCAGTTTGACATTAAGAATCAAATAACAAAACAAAATATCATGTGTGTTGTTCAAAACAAAATCAGTGAAAGTATGTCTGAGAAATGGTTAAGGACACCTGGAAATTAAACCAACATGGTCGCCAGTTAACCATTAACCAGTTTGAATAAAATCGGTCAAAGCATGCTTGTGAACCAGTTGATGCTGATTTTTGGTATTTTGGGAGAAAAATCGCCGCCAGTTGGTCAACAGTCGCCCAAATAAAAAACAGATTGAAACACACATGCATTATGACTTGTCTTTGCACCAACTTTGAACAAAATTGAAATGACAAGACGGACATGCGTGCACACACACATGCATGCATGCATGTATGGATAGAATCAAAAACATAAGTCCCTGTTATAGACTTTGTCCAACAGCGACTAAAAATAGCCACTTAAATTAGAGGTACTGTACCTACGAATCAAACTAATCCAGTTGTTTGTTTTCAAGATGTTGAAAATATCCCAGCTCATGAGATGACAAAAATATTCACCAAAATATAGAGAATTATATACAGGAATGCCATTATGACATTATCACTAGTATATCGTTTGAACAAAACATGTTAAAATAGTTTTGCAGTGGTCCACCTTGTGTATGTCAACAATATAGAGTTGACTGATGCAAGAGTACCTTAGTTTACCTACAATTTCGCCATGCTGTGTCAGCTTCCACGACTCTGTCCACCAACGTAACATCTTTATAGCGTTTGACTTGATTCTCGGTGATCTTAGCAGGATCTCCTCCCGCGTCAGATCTAAACAGTTGCAAATCAAGCACCATTCTGGGTGTCTCAAACAAAAATGAATACAATTCTCATGTCCTGCTGAATTTTATAGGTCATAACGCCACGAAATTTGCATATCATGACAACTGATTGCATCACACCACTCAAACTATATTTACCTTCAGTGCCAGTTGAAGTAAACAACAGAAAATATTTAACGACAGCAACATACAACTATAGTCTCAGTCAATTAACAAAAAAAATGGAGTGGAAATACAAAGCCGTAAACAACAGTCTGCCATTTTAACACGAATTATTTGAAATCAGTGTTTCAATTTGGCATGAATATTGCATCTTATTCTGTTTGTATATTCTGAGATAATTTCCAAACGAGTATGGTGAAATTTATTTTCATGTCCTGCTATATACAACACATCAGGGATGTGTTGGTCCAATGCCAAAAGAATTCTATATCTTGAGAGCTGATTGCATCAGACCACTCCTATACTTTATTAACTTTAAAGTGTAACCCACAATAAAGTAAAAGCCATGCATGGCACAGTCCTCATTTGTTATCAAACTTAAGATACATTTGTTTATAGTAATATGACATTCAGTCATCTTGTATCTGATTTTCAAGAGTACATTAATTGAAACAAAATGGCCACAGGTCGGCCATTTTAAATACATCTGTATATTTATAACATGATGTATAATGAATATACAAAATTTAAACATAATCAGTCAAATCATGTCAGAGATACGACTCAAGAACCACACTCATTAAAACAAAATGGCCACCAGTCAGCCATTTTGAATCCGATTTGAAAAATAAAATGACGTACATCAGGACCCATAATGTTTTATGTACATCCATAAATGTTTGATTTTGATGATTTTCAGCACAAAAATGGCCGCCATTCGAACATCTTGAATCACACCGTGAATTGAATTAATGTGCATATGTATAATATTATGTACATGTATGATGTATGTTTGATGTTTGAATGTAATCAGCCCAGGCATGTCTAAGCTATAGGTCTGGACGCATGCACGGACACACGAACGCATGCTCGTTTTCAGACTGTGTCTGAACAGGGATTAATAACACAAAATGTTAATTAGTTACAGGTCTCACACCACAATTATAATTTGTACATGTACATGTACATGTACCAAGGCACAGAGTCATATAGGATGCCATGGATGGCTTGATTGTATTTCAAACTGTTTTATCATAGCAGAAAAAGACAAGACTAAGATTAATTGAGTAGAATTTTAGCACAAAAAATTATTTTGAAATGGCGGACTAATGCATGTACATTTCGAGTGAGTAGTCTGATGGGTCAACATTTATATAGCCATTACCAGTGTAGTTGAATCATTTTCTTTTGGGGGATTTTTTTTACATCTGTAAATGATCTCATCTATTATTGGATTTAATTTAGTTGTAGTACGAGATCTACAAATAGTATGTACTCTCCACCACTTTACACCACGGTATAATTACATTTGGCCGAGTTCGACTGTTAAGACCTGGCAGAGTTTGAATCTGACTGAGTTTGACTGCATTATTAAAAAATAACCCCACGATGGTATGGACAAACAACGAAGGTAGAATATTTACTAATGCCTACGTGTATAGGTTAATGAAGGTTTATGTCCTAAATCAAACACGACAATATGGACATGTTGCTGTACAACCGTACGCGATAGCATGTGTATGTTTTTCATTGAACTATGACCCCATTCAACTGGATGATACAACGTGTCAAATGTCGGGTAATGATCGATAGCCTTGTAGCGACCGAGCTGACTTATAGATAGTAAAACACTCTCTGTGTATCTATATTCAACGGGATATTTCGGCGATATCATTATATGACAGACAGACACATAGACTAAACATGGTGCAAATCATCTGCACGTTTAGATTACCTACACTTTCGCCATGCTGTGTCAGCTTCCACGACTCTGTCCACTAACGTAACGTCTTTGTAGCGTTTGGCTTGATTCTCCTTGATCTTTGCAGGGTCTCCTCCCTTGTCGGATCGGAACAATTCCAAATCGAGCACCATTTTGGGATAATATCCAACCGGTATGGCAATAAAATATAATTCACGCGTTCTGCTGTATACGACACACAGACAGAGCATGCGCAGGAGTGATTCCACAAAATTTGCATATGTATATACATATTGATAGCTGATTGCATCAGACTAAAGCTAACTGTCGTCACGTCCTTATGTTCTACCTATACCCTTTCTTCTATGCCATCGATAAAGAGTTATAGCTCGAAACGTCTAGATATTTTGAATAGTTACTCAGGTCAACAATATTATCTACTATATATCAGACTACAAGTCAGTTACTTCAATTACATCGGTGTATTCCGAGACAATATCCAACCGATGGAGAGAAAAAAATTACGCTTTCTGCTGTGTTACACACATACAATGCATGAGCACATACAATGCAGTGACAATGAACTGACAAAGAGATGCTGTTACAAATTGGTACGAACTGATTGCAGAGACAACTATTTAGACAACTTGAATGTGTACTTTAATTTAATGTGTTTTCATTTTATTCAAAAGCAAACAAGAGCTGAAAACAACGTTTTGCGCGGCATACAGTATATTGATTGCTTCTCAAGACTGACTGCAAAAAAAAACAGAAACAAGGAAAGTCGATACGGATATTTTTACTTTTAGCATGAGTAATTATAGGCTAGAAAAAAGACGGAAGAAATTCGAAAAATGCTTTTATATTCAGTAAGAAAAAATCCAGGGTACTAATGGGGCTGGTGTCAGGTCAGTAAGCGCGATGCGCCGCCCGTACCGGCCGCTTCTTGGTCTACAAGTTATAGCGCCCTCTAACAAAAACTGTATTACTGCTTCCTCCGTCAGCGAAGCGGAGAAACAGACGAGGGAAGCTGGAGGTAACTCGTCGTATGGTTTCTCCGATAACATGAATATTATCATAGTACTGAGAAGCAGGCCATCATGCTAACCCACGAAAGGTCACGTGACAAAAGTCATAGACTTAAATTAACAAAACAGGCAAAAAAAAAAGACTTAGGGCGTATGTGGGTGATTTTTTTGTTTTTATCGTGATCCGCATCACCACATGACGTATTAAACGCAACTCGTTCAAGGTTTAACTTTAACAGCCTGAGACCCATTCACTCAATTGCCAAGCGTTACAGCTTCGGGTTAGAAACTGAATTAATTGATGGATATTATCTAGTGTCTGGAAACTTTTGTTCTAAGGCAATGGAGCACTTAGGGCGAGTAAAATATCAGATTATATTCCGATTGGAATTAAACTTGACAATCCGTCTGTTAGCTGTCGTAGACACTCGGCTATTCTATTCTCTTCTTTCATCCCACTAACAATTACTCCACTTATCCAATTAATCATAGCCACTGCAATTTCAAAATACGTACATTACCGAAAAGAAAAAGGCGCATAATCTATCCAGAACATGTGTTAGCTTGTAGTATGTTTTATTGCACACGTCAGTGGGCGTTAACATGTAATATAGCAGGTTTTATTAGGATATGTACATATCCACGGCGATCTAGTACTCCTGCCGCCAGTGTCATTAGACGTGTTTTCATACCCAGTGAAGTCAATTGCACAAATAGTAAACGACATGTGAACTTTTTGTTTGAGTTTCTGTTCACCTTTTGTAGTTTGCGAGGCGCTTACAAATAATGATGATATTCACAAATACAAAGATCGTCATCACAAAAAAGTATGATTTAATTTCTTCGTGCAACCACATAACATTACATGTACTTATGAAACATCATTAATTTGTTATGACACTTGAAAGTCACGGTGAAATTTGTACTTATGAGAAAGGTCTACCTGTGAATTGTTGTTGCTGTATCTACGATCGTCGCATCGTTTCTTGATGTGACGTGGCGACGGATTAAACTGAATTATTATTTACTGGATCATGGTGCAGCAGTGTGTCTCGAGAAAATAACGTCCTCAGAATAATATCGTAAAATGCACCAATAAACTGACACATAAATGACGGTACCCGTTTTTTTGTAGGCCCATAATTGTTATTACATACCATTATCACTACAACTATATATATCGTAACAAGTAAGATGCTTTCTCTTTTTTGTTTTATTATTGTAAAAATATTTCTCCTTTTCGTTTTATTATTGTAAAAATATTCTCCATGGAACGCTTCTTATAAAACATTGAGGTATTTGTGTCGCAATACAATTACGACGACCTGTTGCATAAACAGGTATGAAGTGCATAACTACTTTCACTGTGACCAAAATGCTATTTCAGAAATAGGAACAGTTTTTTTTTTTTTTTTTTTTCGCTACTTTATTTATGAACTATTCTGAAAGACGAGTTATTTGTGAAACTATTATCCAGCACTGACGACGCTGACTACGCAGCGCAATTTACTCGATTAAGATTGTGCCCAGTGACACCATGTGTACGGTGTTATTCAGCAGAGCCCGTCATGTGCTGCTTGCTTTGGTATACGGATTGATAAAATATGTTATAAACATATTGGAATGCCATAAACTGTTTGGCTTAACAGGTATTGAGCATCCATCGCTATAACTAAAGCCTGTTTTAATTGGGTGACAGACTCCACGTGTTAAATGATTGTAGCACATACCCCTAGAATTGAATATATATCAGATTATCTCCGAAGATCTCACTGCACAATCATTTACATTTGAACATGCATCACCCCGTGTTTTCTCAGTTACTTATTGATGAAATATTATTTACCCATATTTATTTTAATTTTTGAATTCTAATTTTATTATATTCTGTTCTGTACGTGTACTATTTATTTAAGCTGGTATCACTATCTCAGTTTTTTATGTTATGTACATCAAAGTAGGCGCTGATTATATGCGCGTTCCATTCAGATATAATGTTCATAACCGTATGACCGCATTGTGTGCCGGCTTCGTTGCAGACACCACCCATGGACAACGCAGCGTACTCAGTGTCTGTTATGATTAAAAATAGTTCCAAATATTTTGTACAATTACAATTGTTGTGTCCGCACTTTTTTGATAATTCATTACGGTGCCAGTCATGATGATTGGCAGTTTACGTCGAATACATTAATTCCGAGTGTATAATTCTCCTGGTTGTCTAATCACAATATAAACGCTGCGTGAAACATTCACGTTAGTTAGATGATTACAATGACATCAGCTTGCATGGTTGCACTCGTTACGGGTCCACGATACGCTCCAACGCTAGAGCGCCCTCTAGCAACAACGTACAATGATTTTGCAAACATCTATGCCACATCAAATATAACAGTATTTCAATTTAGTCAATAGACTGCTCGAAATTCTTTAATTGTACGAGTCTTTGTTCTATTACCCCACCTCGACGATAGTTTGTTTCAAATGTAGGTATGAACTCTGTGTTCTTGTGTGTTTGTCCGTCGTCAATAAAAGGGGTTGCAGACTTCGTCAATCAACAATACGAGTAGTGCATCTTACAACTGGTAATACCAGTAGTGTGTAGCGCGGGGTGTTGATCTGAAAACTAGACGGTATCTCTGACCCCGAATGTATTGAACGATCAAAATAATGAAGGTCTTCACATGAGATCGTCGCTCATCGACAGTAATGGATTTACCACTAAATAAAAACACCCAATTTGAAACAGTGGACTACATGGGGTCTTACTAGATGATCATTACTGAACGATCCCAATTCAATGAAAATCCGTCAGTCTTTTTGTTACTGTAGCCTCTACAGTTTCTGGATTATTTAAATAACGTGACAATCATTAAAATGGGTCCCTGGGAATAACACATGTCAATTGCATGACCGTTACCGGTCTACACTTCTCGTTAGAATTACGTCATTCATTTGAATATGAAAGTAGCGTACTAATTCCTTTTTCATATTGCCTGGCAGTTCTTGTTGACAGCTGGTATCAACAGTTTTTTATGTAATTGGTTAAACAGTCATTGCAATTATATTTTCCATTTAATCCCTTTTATATATTGCCTAGCAAGTCTTGTTGAAATGGCAGATTGTATCATCTGTTGGTTTTTATAATTATTTTTATAATTGAAGCCTCCAAATCGCAGCGTGATATGAAACAATACCTTGGACAAACCGCTTTCATTTTTGTACGTATATACATCGAAGAGAGATACATAGAAATGGTAGCCGTCTAATATTAAATATACTTTATCATTTCTTCCAAATTCGTTGCTCGCACAGCAGTATAAGTATATGGCTGGATGGAGACGATATTATCAGTCGACCGCGTTTGTTGTTCTTATCTGGATGATCGAGGTTATTGAAACTAACGTTTTTGAAAAATGTGGCGATTTCAAACATAGTGATTCAGCAAAAAAAATATGTTTAAAATATTCTTTATAACATCGTACATGTATAAAAACTACAGTTTTATTTCATTCTAATTATTCAGTTTGAGAAGAAAATTACACCATAAGAGAAAAAAAATATTAATTCAATCTCATTCCAAGAAATTAGAATCAAATCGTCATTTCATACAAACATTGTCTGTATGATGGTTGTGATGCATAGCCTTTGTGTGCGCCATCGTGGTCTAGTTATGATCTTTGGCAATAGCTGAGTTCGTGATTAGAATTCACCGGGAACGCTAAGAAACAAGATTCAACGGGACACCAGTACTGAAGTACCGCTCTTTCACTGCACGTCATATACATATTGATTTAATCGCCAGTAGTAGAGGCTCATTGAAAGCATTCAGTACTGTGCGTGTACCGTTCATGACAGGTCACAACAGTGAATTCCGGAGGGAAACGTAGTTGTGCAATCACGACGAGGAGTATATGAAATCATTCATTGCTTTCTTCACAACCAAATACGACGCAAATTTGTTTATACCACCAATGTAATAAGAGGTGAAGCCATACGAGCAAGCACCAACACACAACTCGAGCTACTATTACAATTCACTCTTTCCCACCTCGTTTTGAAGCACGTGTGAAACACTATAATACACTAGGCTGGTGCTTTCCATTTAGTTTACTCTCAGTTAACTCTACAGAGATTGCGCCATAAATAAATACGCACAGTTGGTGATTGGAAATTAGAACGAATGGCAATTTTGCATT